CAATTTATAAGTAAATCTCTATACACCTGATGGAAAGTTACACAGTAGAATTATTTTATATGACCTTGTCCCTTCTAAGTTGTACTTTTTTCTAGATATTTTTAAACTTCTATTTCCTTGTAGACTGGTTAGTCAGTTCTTGTTCCCAAAGGCAGTTTCTCCTAGGATTAAGATTAGAAACTAAATTATCATAATAGTTTTATTGCCCTGCCTCTAGCCAGGCAGGAGGTTTTTCTAGTTTTGTTACATGCCGGAACTCTGTTTGCTTCAGCCCGAGGTCATTGTCATGGTAACCGTGCAGCCCATTATCCAAGAGTGTAACAGCTACTATTTGATTTTTAGAATAGACTTGTTTGTATAAAACATACATTTAAGACGATACAATTTCCATCGAAAAGATTTAAACAGTAATAAGCATTCATAGAAAACTTTTAAGTTTTGTTTAAGCTTCCTTTTCTCAGATTATGACTTTAGCTCCTGTTCCTGTAGGCCAATTTTAAGTATACCAAAATTTTCCCAACAGTGCTGTTTTTGCTTCTAATATAACAATAGGAAATTTTACACATAACCATGTATTAATATACTAGGAAAAAGGATTTAAGTTTTGGGTTAAAGTCCAATCACTAGATCATATAAAAATTATAGTTTAGACATATGAAACTCATATGAATTATAGTAAAGTTTGGTAGTTTAAGAATAAGTTTTAACTGAGTTATAAGGCATTACGTTAAATCGTAATAGGATAATAGTATAACTAACAGCTAAGTCATTTAAGTAAACTTATATAGTATAGTGTTAAGTTGATAATATTAATCGTTAAAAATATTTGGAGTCAGTGAACTTGGATTGAACCTAGAGTCAACTCAGAAAAGTTTTTTGTATTAATCAGGGTTTAGAACAAAGAGTATAATATGAATGATTTATTGAACACTATGGAAGACATTTTGAACAATTGAAATTGTGCACCTGTGACCTTGATGTGAGTTTTGTGAAGCACGTCAGACATCATGGAGTTTGAGTTGTCTGCTTGGAACTTGCAAGTCTCGTGATGGTCTTGTGATGCATGGTTTGTAAAGCACGGAACTTGTACGCCCCTAGCAAGTGATTATCACACTGCTGGAGGGTATAGAAAATGGTATATAAGTTGGAAAAGGTTTGAATAAAATTGGCTTCAGTCCTGATCAGACTGTTCCCAGAACTGCCTCCGAGTGGTCTTCTCGCCATCTCCTGATTCTCCGGTGCAGGTCCTAACCCACCCTTGGTCAGTGCTGGTCACCGACAGCTCATGACTGTAATCTCAGCACTTTGGGAAGCTGAGGCAGGAAAATTTCTTGAGCCCAGGAGTTTGAGGCCAGCCTGGGCAACATAGTGAGATCTCATGCCTATAAAAAAAATCAAAAAATTATCCAGGCATGGTGGCAAGCACTTGTAGTGCCATCTACTCAGGAGACTGAGGCAGAAGGGTCATCTGAGCCCAGGAGGTGAGCCCAGG